GGTACGATACAGTACGGGTACCGTGCAGTGCGGTGCGGTGCAGTACTGTACTGTACTGTACTGTAGTGTCACGATAAAACTGAGATGGGATAAACTCACGGCATCATACTTTGTAACCCCTCCCCTTTTTCTTGAGGCGTGACCAATATGGGACATGTCTCAATAAACTTCCAGCCGGGCGGCTGCATCATGAGATGGGTTATCTACGAGTGATCAACCACGACAGCAAGGTAATCACTAACCCCCGGGGGCAGGTGCCAAGTTAAAAACTCTGAGTATTTTTTTCTTTCTTCCTATTTTGGGCTCCGAGATAGATCTTTAGGTAACTACACCTACTGCCCTTGGGAGACCCGCCCCCCAGAATGGCCGGCCACGCAACTCTAAAATGGCTGAATGACCATAAACTTCCTATTCCCCACGCTCAACAGCAGAACCTCCCTTTCTCCAAACCACCCCTCATCCCCTGTTGCCATCCCATCAGAAATCTTTTAATTTTTTGGTCCATGATACATCCAGCCACCCTTAATAATATTCGCCGCACCTCGTCATAACAGCGCCTACCTGTCTAGCAAGTCTAGCGATTGTCTCTCCAACTCCCTCTGTCCTAGGTATCTTGACGATCCGATCACCCCACAACGAGAAGATTTCTGCCACGGACAATGCAATTCCTCCGTCTACCAGAAAGAACCAATTTGTTACGAATTCTGCTTCCAAGGATTTCTCTATGATATGGAAAAGGGTCATGGCTTCTCTTACAAGGGGGATCCAGGGGTTTCGGGATGCGGGTTTTGGAGTGTGAGCATGCGTGACCATGTCAATTTCAGGCAGAGGAAGTAAGGTGAACATTTAAAGATATTCCTGGACATGGGTATCAGGGAGCGCTGCAGAGAACTTGAGGTTGTTGGTTTAGGGCTTCCTTTTCTGCAAAGAAGATGGATGTACCTGGTAGAGCACGAAGTGTGTAGTTAGATTCTCGTTGAGCCAGATGGCATTTCCCACATATTTACCGATAGAAGGATAGGAGAAGGCCATTCTTGTAATTTATACATACTCTTGTCTTTACCGTTTAGTAAGCTAGGTAGTTAAGCTGAGTGATTGAGCATATTATCAAGAGAATTGAATAAGAACAAGCCAGCTTGGAGTTACAATATACCATCACAATACAAATCAAAATATTTTGGCACATTAGTTAAGCATTATTCTTATTGACTAGCCATTCGAGATAGTAACATAGTTCACATGATACCAATTCTTTTAAACTTGAATGCTAATAATCAGATGGTTCCTGACATGAGAAACAACCAGGCTTTGTATGATCCATCTTTTACCACCTCGATTGTCACGGCCACCAAATTTTCTTCACCCTTGTCACATGCCAGTGTTTCATACCTGAAGGAGCTCTCCGTAGCTTTCAGGATTCACATTCTTGAAGGAATAGGTGTGACAAGACAGATTGGGTTGGCTATGCGCGGCAGGATCAGGATAGTGCATGGCGACCCCACGTAGCAAAAGAACAGAGCTGCACTTGGTCAGATATAGTGAAGGATCTCCTTGGTGTTTTGGAACATACAGGAAGGACGTACATTATAGCTCAGAGGATTTCCTATGGTTATAGATTATGTTGTACTTGGAGGAGCACCATTAGATTGAGGAATTTCCTTGAGTATATCTATGGGGTGTGCCCCTTGATATTTTACTTTCTTTACGCAATCTGGTAATCTCCTACCTTTGTATATACTTAGAAATTACGTCTACTCCTTGCTCTCATGTTTATCGTGAAGTAACGTTCAGATTGTTACCACTCCACAATCCGGAACCTGAGGAGAACGAACTTGATACCTTGTTGCTCTTTACTTAATTTCTTGCCCTTGCTTTGCTAGTCATAGCTGGACCCCCAGGCATAAACCTGCTGTATGGTTCATGCTCTTTGATTAATATACCTTTGGCTTTTCCTCGTATCTGCCTGTCCTCGGTTAACTATCTTGATGATACTAGTAGTTCTCCCGCCTGAACCCTTTGCACCTGTGGCCTTCTCTCATGTCCGCCTGTTCTCGGTTAACTATCTTGACGATAGTTCTTCTGCTTGAACCCTTTGTGCCCATGGCATTCCCTCATGTCTGCCCATCCTCGGTTAACTATGTTGACAATAGTTCTCCTACCTGAACTCTTTGCGCCCGTGGCCTTCCCTTGTGTCCACCCATCCTTGGTTAACTAGCTTGATGATAGTTCTCCTACCTGAACCCTTTACACCTGTGGCCTTCCCTTGTATCTGCCTATCCCCAGTTGACTATCTAGATGATAGTACTCCTGCCTGAACCTTGGTAGACTTTAGGTATAATGGGGGCTCCTTGAGGTAGATGGTTCCTAAGGATATAACCACACTAAACTTTGAATCTCTCGAACACAGCTCTTGCAAAGTGTAAAGAATAAAAGTAAATGGTAAAACTTAATATTGTTAAGCTCTGGCTTATCTCAATTCAAGTCTCTTGAGAGGATGTTGATTGTGTCAGGGTAGAAGAGTTCTCGTATAATCTTTAAGTAGTCAGACTTATACCAAAAACTCCCCCATCAGGTTACCCCAACCAACATGAGTATGCCCTTCTCAGTAAGAGTTGCTGGTACCATTACCATATCCCCAAAGGGCCTTAGGTGTCAGCACACTCTAGTAGGAATCTCCTATATGCACATTAGTTCCATGTGAGGTGTTTACCAATACTGCTGCTGGAGTGAAAACTTCTGTGCTTCAGTGCCTTGCCAGTAGCTAACTGTCGAGCTGCCTAGGAAAGCTAACTAAATGACTCTCTTCCCATGTACTATAACCCATACAAGCACTTGTAGACATCTGCTGTCTTCTGGTTAAGTTCTATCTATCTTAACTGCGAACATAGAAGGTCTATGATACTTCCGCGCAGAACTGTGGTGGTGGCGGAGCCTATGGGTGCTACCCATGGTCTCTTACCCCCAACACACCACTCACCATGATAAGTATCATGCTACTAGAGTCCTCAAACAACCCACAAAGAGCCTATGGTAAAGGGGTATGTGTAGGCTTGATTGGTATAAAATCTTCCCAGATGTCCCCGGCACTACCTGAAACTACTCTGGGGACCCTTCCAGATAGCTCATGCCAACTCTGTCAGTTTTGGTCCGTTTTACTCCATTCTTTTTGGAGAAGGTACCTGACCTTCTTACCTTGGCCCCCTTGTATATCCTGTGAAGAGCTTCCGGTCGGACGGACGGCAGCGATGTATACAGTGTTATGGACATGTCTTCATAGACTCCATTTAACTAGTATGACGGCAACTTCAACCATTTTGACCCATGATGCCCGGGGCGAACCCTGGGGCTGCAGGGACCTCTTAGGAATAATT